CTTACCGATATAGTGCTTCATCGCCTGCACCACCTCGTCACTATTGCTTGCTTTCAATGGATAGCCCCATATCACACCAGTGAACCGATCTCGAATCACCAATACATCCTTATCCGGCATGATCCCATCTCTTGCCATCTTCTGAGTGTTCATGAGATCGAAAGTGATAAGGTCACCAAATGCCTTCAATTTCCGTTTGAAAGCCCCCTTGCTAGTCTTGTAGTGCTTCATCTTTGCTCTCACACATGACTTGCAGTATGGGTTCTTGTATCGGTGCGTCATCAGATGCAATATGGATTTCGCCTCATTCTTCAGCACTCCTGGTTTTGATAGTCTGGCTTCCCCGTCGACCACATCGACTTCCAATAGTCCCTCTTCCTCTTCACCAATGTCACTCTCCTCTCGTTCAGAGTCCGCATCACCTCCACATTCGTCGCCTCCGGCATCTTCAGATTGACCATCGTGATCACTATCGAATCTCGGGTCTTCCCCGTCATGTTCCTCTTCAGGAGAATGCCTATCATCACCGTGTTCCTCTGGTTCTCCTTCGCCGCCTGCGACAGCTGGATTGATATCAGATTCACCATCTCGATCTCTCTGGTTATCTTTCTTCTTTCTCCTCCGTCTCCGTGGTTTCTTAGGCGGAGGATCCTCATGTTGTGCCTCGTGATCTGCTGTGGCCTCGTCTTCATGCTCCACACCTGACAATATGCGATGAAGTATCGTGGCCAAGCCGTCTGATCTTGGTAAACATCTCCCGTCATCATCATTCACCTTGATGTAGGGTATGTTGTCATGCACCGATAACGGAATCTTGTTCGCGTTCTGGTCGATGAGGTATGGCAATTGATTTGCCGGCCATATGAATGAGTACCCTTGTTCCATGCACCGCTTCCCAATGGAAAAGACTGATGGTGTGCTCTCCAACACGTGTGCCTCGGACATCATGGGTAGCTCGTCCACATTGATGTCCACCATCTCTGATGTACTAGTTACACCATTCGCTGTCATGAAGCTCACGGATTTGGGTCCTTCCTTGGTGGTAAGGCCCATGGCATTGACTTTCTCTCTTGATATCAAGTCGTGTCCACATCCCGTGTCCATGATGAAGCGTATCGGTGGTCCATCATACCTCTCCACAGCCATGAACATCGTGTCTCCCGGTATCGTGTAGTTGACAGAATCCTTCTTTACTACCTCGCTGGTGCTGAAGTCAGACAGGTCGACGTTCACCTCGATTCCTTCATCTTGAGTGATTTGTATCCATGCCTTGGCAATGTGTTCAGCTGAGTATGACTCCATCATCTTACCTTTGGCATGTGCATATTGTTCACTCTGAGGGCTCTCAACGATGTAATGAGCTCGGTATCCACCTTCTGTACCTCACTCTTCTTCTTCCTGAGGGGACGGGTATTTAGCTCGTTACCAGGATCGCAGGGAAACGTGGTCACATTCGCCTGGTCATAGAATCTGACTTTAAAGCGAAGCGCCAACCCACCTCGTCGTATATTGGGAAGTGCTGGTTGCATGTCCTCGTCATCACTCTCGATATCCCCGCAAAGCATGAAGGCTGGTGCAGCTGGTTTGGGCTTGGCTTTGCCTTTAGCCTCTTGCTTTGCCGCAGGAGCAGCTTGATGTTGACGTCGACATTTGTCCCCGAACTTGCACGATCCTTTCTGCCAATTCCAACAGACCTGATCCTTCATTGGCTTAGGGCTAGTGCTCCTACCACCAGGACTCTTTGACCTGTCACCCTTGAGGTTGTCTGGTTTCTTAGCAGAACTTTTGTGCTTCTCCTGGTGACTAAACTTGCATTTGTCTCCTCTAGAACATCCGTTCTTCCCATGGAAGTGGAAAGCGCATCCTATCTTAGACGTGTCTGCTGGAGTCGTTGATCTGCCACGGTCCCCTTTCGGGCTCTTCGTGGTTGACCTTCCACGATCCTGCTTCTTGTCCTTCTTTTGGTGATCCTTCGGATTATTCTGAGGAAGTACTGGAGCGGCGTCCTTCGGTGGATCGGCCTTGGTATTCTTGGGCTTCGCTTTAGGGTCCTTCTTCTCCGCTGGTGTAGCCTTCATGAGGTTCCCAAAAGCTTTTTCCCTTTCTTTCTTATTTGTGGTCTCGATTGATTTCCGTATCCACTTCGCCATAATCTCCCGTAACTTCTGATAGGTCTTATCCGGATCCTTATCCAACATGTTGTCGTACACAGACAAGTCTAACGCCATAACTTTGGAATCTTTAATCTTGTCCCAAAGCAGGTTGCGGAGTGCTTTGTCAGGAAGCATGTCATCCGCATCCATACCTGATATGATCTCATCCCACTGTCCAAGGAATCTGGATAGTTGATTATCTCCAGGGAACTTCAGATCGAATAAGTGCTTAGATGCATACATCACATCGACGTTGTCGGCACTCCGGAAGCTATCGACGATCAACGCTAACATTTCTCGTCCCTTAACCATTCCCGGGGTTGTGCCTCTCGCACGTCTCTGCATCATCTGCCTCACCTTCAGTTGTACGTCATGAGATCTCTCACCTGCTGCGTGGATAATCGTGTGTAGGGTGATACCTAGCTTAGCATCTATGCTAGCGAATCTTGCTTCGCCCGATGTCTCGAGCAGAGATGGGTCATATGGTGATTTGAAGGCATCCGAGAGCCACTGGATCCAATCTTCTTGTTTTTCGTCGCCCGATGCCGTCACGACTGCCGCTACAACTTGGGATTTCCAAACCTCCAAGTCGTGTATCTTGGGCCATGCAGGGATGTTGATCTTCTCGTGTTCCTTCCGAGATATCTTGGAGCCACCCGAGCTAGAGGATGAAGCGGCACCATGTTCGGTTGCAGCTGCGTTCTCAGCGTTCATGCGCTCCTCTTCATACCTCTTCCGGTACTTATTCCTCTCATCTCTGAGTCGTGCTGCATGTGCTTCGAATTCCATCATGTCCTGCTGGTTCTGCATCATACCTTCGTAGTACTCCATCGCCTCTTTCTCCTCGGACCTTAATGACTTTTCGGTGCGTTCAAGTTCCGCTTTAAGCCTGGTCATCATCTCATTCTCCACATTGGATTCTGATCCCATGTCTGGTGGTTTCATCTTCAGTGCGACTTTCAGCTGTGCTTCACTCGCGCTAGATTCGATCAATTCTTCCTGAAGACGTTTCAACATCCTCTCTTTACGTAGAATGTCTTCTTCCAACATGTTCATCTTGACTTCAGCTTTCTTGAGTTCGACGTTGGATGGTTGAGACGGTCGGTCGGATCCTTGAGTCCTCGCCTGCGTCAACTCCTCGTTCGCCCTCTTCAATTGCTCTCTGATGGTCATGATGAAATTGTCCTGATTATAAGATCGGTTGTTGAGCTCCTCATTCTCTTCTGATAACCATTTGATCTTGCTTGTATACATTGCTTCCTTCATCTTCATCTCCTCGGCATATTCGTGTTTGTTCCTGACACTCTGCCTTTGTAGTCCAACTATCTCCTGCCTATACAGATCCCTAATGTTCTCAGCATCTGCGACTGCAGTCATGAGCTCCGTCACAGCTCGATCTCTTTCCGCCGATATAGCCTGGATCTCTTCCGTGCCGATGTTCACGACTTGACTAACCATCTCTGCGCTGTTGCGATCAGCGTACTCCCCTAACTGGGTGAGACGATCCCGCATTGCCACACGATCAGTGTCAATCTGGTATTGCAAATCGTGTGCTGCTGAGAGCAAACAGTCTCTGGATTCTGTAAGTTGGGAGATTCTTCGTTGATTTCCATATCCTTCGACATAACATTCTTCGAGGTGTGTCATCACTACTTCGTGGACTTCGGTCTCGTGTTGTATAATCTGGTTCTGTCTCTGCTCACATTCGACCATCCATGCATTTTGGTGGTTCAACATATGCACTTCGGCAAGTAGTTGTGCACACTTCGCATTGAGGTCTCCATCGGCCCGTGCTAGTTGTAGGTTGTCGGTGCTTGCCCTTGCTCCATCTCCAGCTTCGCTGTCCGATGGCACTGGTACAGTTGACCCATCCTCCAATGCTAGCACTCTCACAGCTCCGGTGTCAGTTCTCCTCCTTGTCTCTCTAGGGCTACGGCCCGATCTCGGTGTCCCCCCCGGTGGTGTCGAGTGCGCTGACGGGGAACGACTTCGTGCTCTACCTGTCGCAACTTCTCTCACCACTGTCAGAGTCTCCGCTTCGATCGTACCTGGACTAGAGTTGTGGGATGCACTCACCCGATCTGCGGCCGCAGCGGCTGCTCCAAAGGGTGCAGTGCTGGCGTCGGATTGGTCCATCTTCAGTGACTGAGGGTAACTGATCTATCCGATGCGTGTGCGTTTAGATGGTGTTGTGTAAGGCCGTAGCTCGTACCCAGCTCGAAGGAGTCTGGATACGGCTGATAACCTGCGAACGGATGAAAAGCGTGCCCTGGCCCCGTTCTAGCCCTTAGTTCAACATGAAGCTCGCGCGCTAAAGCTCCTTTTTACCTGGTCGGGCACTTGAGCCAAAATGGTATGGCAAGTACCTATATAGAAGCTATACTGAGACCTCATCTCTATTGACAATATATATAGCTAGCTCGGGATAGTGTTTCTGAGTGTGATGGCTCGATATGGTTTGCGTTTGATGGGCTAGCCTGAAAGCCGCCAAAACAAGAATGAGCCATGGCCACCAAAATCGCATTCCTACTCGTGCTGTTGGTTGAGTGACAATCTTACAGATTCAATTCTTGACCTGCGATCCAGCAAGATATGTTATACACATAATATATATACATATCTGTGTGTGTGTTTTGACTATATTGTGGGAACCGTTCAACGAAACAAGATGCCCCTTCAATTCTCCGGAATTGAGCTGGCCAACTTAATATATAAACCAAAACATACTAAACCGCGCACTGCAATGGTCTGGCTTGAGACCTCAAAGCTCGTCGGACGTGGAACTGGACTGGCGCACGTCTGCTCATCGCTGAATTCAACTCAACGCGTCGAAGAAGGGATCCAGGCTTGTTGGACAGGATATTTCTCAAGCCGGCAGACACCGGAGGCATGGGCATGCCTGGCGGTTGCTGTGCCTGGGCGGAAGCAAGCAGAAGCACCGAAATGACTGAACAAAGTGACAGGACCTGCACAATCGCAACAGAAACTGATACGATTGCCACAATGAGCAAAGCCCCGCCTGATGCAGCGCGTCTTCTGGAACACTTGAGCCAAAAGGCGACCCATTTTGCAAGTGCAAAAACTTTGGACTTGGAACCTCAATGTTACTCAATGCTCAAAAACAGGTGCCGATTGCACAAGAATACGGTTCCACCATATCTGGTTGGAGGTCGGAGGCTTATCAGGTCCGTGAAAGGAGACAAGGGCAGGGTAGGGCAAAGCATGATGCACGCACCAGTCGCCGAACTAATGTTTTGCTTCATGCACAAAACTTGTGGTCTGAACTTATTGCTGTTCAGTAGGTGTTTGCAATTTGCAGGTTGATTGCTTTTTTGCAGGGTTCTTTGGCTCTGTTTCTTCCTATGAATTTTGCAACCTACGCAATTCCAGGACCAACGCTTCAGTCCGCTCATCCAGCAAGTCTCGCTTGATCGAACACTAATTTAAACTTCACTAAACCTCCGGCTTGCAAAGGTACTGACGATGTCTATTGCCTGTCATTCACAAGCCATGCTCAAGAGGATTCTTCCATCTATGGCATGAAGTTGTCTGAATTAACACACACCTTTCTTCTGGTTGTCCTCTGCCCTCAGGTGATGATATGATGGATTCTCTATTTTCCGATACAAATCCGATGCTCATCCTTCGTTTGCCTTTGCTATCCTTCGTCCACTTTCGGTATGTGGGCTCTGCAGTGACTCTCTTTCAGCGAGCCAAGACTGGTTTACTGGTTCTAGCAGCTAGCATTTGGATTCCAGTGATGCTTTCGCTTGGGCAGACTGGAATTTCATATTGCCATAAGCGCTCCCATTTTTACCTCCTCGTTTTCTGATGGGGAGCTGCCAGCATCTGCTCAGATCTGTTCACTGAATGTGGCATCAACAATTCCTACTGCTTCTGGGAGGAGTCTGAAGCTTGCGTGACGTCCTTGAGTGAATCTCTCTGTGACTTGCATGAGCAAAAAACAACTCCAAGCACCCCCTGGAAGCATCCTCAAATTCCGCGGCACCCGTATAGGTCGTCTGTTTTCTGTTCAAAAGGTACATTCAGTAAGCATAGTTAATAAGAAGTGAACCATCCTCATTGTGTTTGTAAAACGATGTCCCGCACAAGATTCGGAGTGCCAATTCACATGAGGCGCTACCTTGTGAAACGCCCCACTGGCTTCTTAATTTTAGTTATATAGTTCTTCCTTGCAAGACCCCACTACTGGGGTGTAGGGCTGGTCCTACTCACTTCCACCACAGCCTTGGCACAACCACTACACGTCTGATAAAGCAAAAAACTGCCTGTAGCATTGCAAAGCTTCAGGCCATTCTCTGGCATTAATTAGCTTCAATATGCTTTAATTATTATGAGAGGTATTTAATGTATTTAATAGGGTGGCGGCTTGTGATCTGATCTGTGACTGTGGAGCCTAACTTTAAGATTCAGGCCCCACTTCCTACAACTAAATTCTCCCCTGCTCTGCGATTGAACGGCTCACAGAGGTTCTTTTGATTTAAGCAACTGCGCTGCATATCATTACTGCGCGCAACAAACTGCATGTGTCTCTAGACTTGGTTTATCTGGATTCCTCTTCACATGCACAATCACACGAGCCTCCGCAGCAAGTCGAGGGCCTGAGGACCTGCAGTTTAGCAGCCTTTCGCAAGCCTGGAGAAGAATGTTGTATGAACTTAGATCAACCCGCCTCAATAAGAACATCTGACAATCAAATCCCAGTCTACTATATAACAAAAGGTAACAAAATATATAACATGAAAAGCCTTTGCGGCGGGTTCAACATGGTATCCGGTGTCCAGCTTTTCCACACAGGAGAAGAAGTCTTCAAGAGCGACTCTTACCACTTTGGGTATTTTTTGGGTCGTTCGTTCCTTACGGAGCTCGAGTGTCAACTTCTTGGCCAAGCGATGCGGAGCAAGGTGCGGATCCAACAGGCGGAGCCAGAAAACAATACTGTTCTTCTTCAGTTTTGGAATTCGATTTGAAACTTCCCTCAGAACTGCATCCTGCAAATGGATCAACCAATCTGGTTTGAAATCAAGCGTCTCTAGGACCGCAATAGCGTGTAAACAGCTGTCCAAGTGCCAGTTTGCCATTTGCGTCGTCAAATGAGAGTGGTCTTCTTGCTCTGGGTCCTGACCAATTGGTTTCTCGTGGAAATCTTGGATGCCTGTGGCAAACTTCAGGAGCCACCCGAGCAACCCTTTCATTTCGGGTGTTGTGCTGCTTGGTGAAGTACTGATTAGCATCGTGGTAGCGGCCAAGGCCTTGTATGAGTCCTCAAATGCTCCAAGCCCCAGCTTTGAAGCAGCCTCGCTCCAGCTGACGATGACTTCCAAAGGCTCCGTGTAAGCATATTCCTGGCATTGTATGCGTTGCATGTCCACATCCTTGGCACAATATGACAGCATTAGCGAGGATGCTGAAAGCGCTGCTTTGGCTTCCGCGGCCACATCCTTCAGCTTTTGCTGATCAAGCCGGCCAAGCTGGGCCCGATGCACAGCCGCTCGTTTTAGCCGGTGGCACAGTATTTGAGTCATTTGTGGTAAGCCATCCGAAGGACTTCGAAGGCGTCGAGCCACACGAACCTGGGCCAAAAGCATCAGTGCCAAATCCCGGGCACTGTAGCTATCCCAAGAAGTCTTCCCAGCGAGGTCATGTGCATCATCTAGCATCAATTCTAGACCTACCACTTCGCTCAGCACCAGTGTACAATTGTGAAGCTCTTCCAGCACCTCTTTTTCTGCTTCTGCCTCACCAATCCCTGAGCCCAACCAATCCCATGCCCGAGAGATCTGCCCGAGTGCATTCATCGCGACCAAGAGGTCCCTGCTATTAAGTGACTGCTTGGCCGCAGGACTCGTCAACACTTTCAAGCTTCCACGGAATGCTTTCACTAACATCACTTGCTCTTCTGTAGTTGATTCACGAGAGCCCACATTCAAAGTGGACCTCGGTGTGCATCGCTACACGTACCATAATTTACCTCTGTGTGTGTGTGTGCGTGCGTGTGACCTTCTGTACATTGGCATGAGGTCTGCTTATTTATTAGTCTTCAGCAAAACCAGTGCGACATGCCCCGTCTCCAGCGAATCTGGCATCACCCAAGAAGACCTTCTATCACTCCGGAGTCGGATGTTCCACACAGCTTCTTCTGATCGATACAGTATGAGCTCCTCTTCTACGTTTTCGTTGTGGTTTGTGATTGCATGTGCATGTGTACTTGCCGGAATGTGCAATTGTATCAGTCTGCAGTAACTCTGGTCCCGCCCCTTCTTCTTGACCAGCCCTAGATTTCTAGGTCCTAGATGTTCCTGTGATAAAGTTTGGCACATTGCGGTGGCTGAAATGAGTTTTGCGGGTATTTATCCATCAGTGTCACACACCAGCCTGCCATTGTGGTCATGCAGACTTCAACACGCAATGGGCTCAACGGGAATTTGGCATAGGAATCGAGCAATTTTGACCAACAGAAAGGTTGGCTTCACTGCAAGATTTGGCTTCACTACACCGTAACATGAGCTGGCAGTCACGGGGAAGCTATAATGAGAGGGCATGGTTGTGATGGAGCCTGTATAGAATATAGAATAAATTGTTGTAATACATAACATCTCGCGCAAGCTCTATTTGGATGCACACATCGCTTCCTCTACATAATTACGTCCACCCCTCCCGCTCTCCCGGAGGTGTGGAGAAAGCTTGACAGCTTGGCCTTGCACCCAAAAAGACATTGAGGAATCAAGGTCCTATCTAATTATGTTCTTTGATATCCCACGAAGTCCCTACTCCCCCAAACCATCCGACAATCTTGGAACTAAGGACGCATGAGATATATGATATAGAAATGTGATCGCAGGAGCAAGGACGCTACTAGGGGCTCCTGGCTTCGCTACTAGGAGCAAGGACGCTACTAGGGGCTCCTGGCCTTACTACTAGGAGCAAGAAGCTATTACTGTAGAAACAAGAATTCAATAGAAATATAATTAAAAACTTCTGAAAGCACTTCGAGGCGGCGAATCAATGCGACCCAGCGCCCGCAAGAGCCGGAGGGCCGTCGAGGGTGTCTGCTCATTCCACATGACATGGTCACCAAAGGCCACAGCAGCGCTCCGGTCCAAGCCGGGCACTCCAACTCGCCAAACCAAGAGACCGCGAAATGCTGTGAGAAGCTCACGGGTCGTCAACCGCCGAAAAACCTGCACTGACCAGTCAACACAGCCCTGAACGCCGCCCCCGACTGTTCGAAACCATCTGTGGAACCGTGGAACCTTATGTTTAGAACACGTTATATAGAGCCTTCTTTAAGCTCACACCTCACTGAACCAACCAGAACTTTCTGGCTGTTGGGAAGATTGCAGAGTTACAGAGTTGGGCGGCATACTGAAATAACAACTTGTGTGTGTGTGTGTGCGGCCCGCCCGCCCTTGCAATCCCGAGCAAATTCTTTTACCCAGGGATCACCAATTATAGCAATGTAAGCATGTTGCATCATGCTGCAACGAGCTTGGACCCTCCCAATTTGACCGTATCCAACTAGTCTCCCACTTCTGCAAGTTTGACAAGGTCACCACATATGGCAAAATCATGCAAGATCTTAACGCAAGTGGGTGCTGGATGTTGGTCAGTACCTCTTGGCTCTAATATGCTCTAATATACCTCAGTGAGTGTTGGTACTGTAATTACTTGCTTTTGCAGAAGGCCTCACTCAATCGCTGTGCCACTTGCTGGAAGAAGTCCTCATCCTGGAGCTGTCCCCGAGAGGCTAAACGAGGCAATGCGGCCAACTCAGCCGATGAGAGGGCTGGCAGCAGAAAAGATAGCTGAGCTACCATTCTGTGCCTCTGCCGTGAGGAAAGCCTTGGAACAAACTGGTGAGCCAGTAATTTCTCGCATGATATGCCTCTTTCGTCTCAGATATGTGATTCATTCTCTCTCCCTGATTTTTTTGATGAGCCCATTAGCGATGGGCTTCTGAAACGATTTGCAAATGTTTGCGTTTGCTGAAATTGTTTGATGTCTTGGAATTGTCAAATGTCTGGCGCTCCTCAATATGTTTCCTAGAAGGATATGTGATATGATCTGTTATATTAATGTGTAGTCAAGCTATGTCAAGCTCCTGCTTTACTTACTACGTAGTCATTTTAGTCTTTTTCCCGAGGGCGCCTGCGAAGGGTTCTTCGTAAAAAAACATCTGCAGAACTACGTCTCATCTACATCTTCACATCTTCACCTCTGCACATCTACATTCTCACCTATATCTCTGCTCATCTTCACATCTACATCTCTGCTCATGTTCACATCTGCACATCTACATCTCTGCTCATCTTCACATCCTCACATCTACATTTCACATCTTCACCTCTCGCTCTTCTTTACTTTCTCTCTTAAGGCCGGGGGCGGCGCCGCCGGAGCACCACGAAACGCAACCCTCGGCGGAGATCGTGCGTGTCGAGGGCACGAAATGCAGGCGAGAGCGCGTTTTGGCCCGGTCGCGGACAACCCTCTGCGGAGATCGTGCGCGTCGAGGGCGCGAGATGCAGGCGAGAGTGCGTTTTGGATTTGGCGCCGGCAACCCTCTGCGGAGATCGTGCGCGTCGAGGGCACGAAATGCAGGCGAGAGTGCGTTTTGACCCGGCCCGGCGCAACCCTCTGCGGAGATCGTGCGTGTCGAGGGCACAAAACGCAGGCCAGAGTGCGTTTTGGCCCGGTCCGGCGCGACCCTTTGCGGAGATCGTGCGTGTCGAGGGCGCGAAATGCAGGTGAGAGTGCGTTTTGGGTGCTTTTCGGAGCTGGACTCAGAAGTGGCCAGTTTGTAGTACAAGTGTAGTATGGGAAAGAGCTTTTCGGAGCTGGACTCAGAAGTGGCCAGTTTGTAGTACA